TCATCAGAAATATGTTTAAATAAAGTAGCTAATATATTATATGTATTGCTAGAAATTCCCAAAACATTCATTTGTCATTGAAAACGTTAACAACCAACAAGCAGGATGATGTCATATAAATATAGAGCACGAGGCAAAACGTCCATGCTCCTTCGATCAACGGCAGTAAATAAATATTGTATTTAATATATTAAATTAAGGACTGTGTTACTGTTGAAGTTATAACATGAACGTTTTGCCTAGTGGCTAGTGCTTTATATATACGACACTAGCTTGTTGATTTGGTTGTCAACGTTTTCAATGACAAATGAATGTTTTGGGAATTTCTAGCAATACATATAATTTATTAGCTACTTAATAGTAATACTGTTATTCTGAGATCTCGCGCGTGCACTTTTACTGTAGGCTGCAGTCATTGTCATATACAAAACAGTCTCTAAATTACTAAAATATGTCTTTCAAAGTTCCAAAAAAACGAGTAAAGAAATCCATGAAAAATTTCCCACAAATCCACGAGAATTCGTATTGTGATAAATACGGATGAACTTTATAATTCCTCTAAATTCTTACATGGCGCCGTTTCATTACAATTGCAAGTCAAAGTAACCATATGCAAACATATTATTCAAATAATAAAAAAGATAGCAAAGTTAAATATTGGTTATCGTTCAACTAAATTTAGAATAGAGTCACAGGTACATAGTACGGCAGAATATTGAAAACGAAAAATATAGTACTAAGTACATGCGGCAAAAGCCTCGAGCGAAACTTCGTTTGCACGTTTACAAACAAGCAAAACTCATGCATTTGATATTATATACCGCCCGACATAATATATTTATCCTTGTATAATATAACATAATATATTTATCCTAAACAACAATACAAGTAAAAAGTAAAGATCGTAACCATCCATCACCCCGAATTTAATGCGAAACACGTGAATTTATAGAGAAACACGTGCGTTGCTTCATAGCTCGTATTCCAGCGTGTTCCGGGTGGGGTTCCGGGTGTTCCGGGTGGGGTTCCGGGTGTTCCGGATGGGGTTCCGGGTGTTCCGGGTAGGGTTCCGGGTGTTCCGGGAGGGGTTCCGGGTGTTTCGGGAGGGGTTCCGGCTTTTACAGACACCCCCATGAAAACGAGAGTATTAGTGCTAATCTTGCATGTGAACAGTAACTGGAGGGGATAATGCATCATAAAATTTTTAAAAAATCAGATCAATTATTGTGAAATTCCCTTCATTTCCGGTCTGAAAATATTCTCGCAAGGTCAAATTTCAACATGGGCTATAACTCCTATAAAACAGAAAGTTGAAACGTTCTGAAAGAAGCTCGATTAATATTGACCAAAGTCTAGTTCATATGCAAAATATGAGCTAAATCTATTTTTCCTTCCCCAAACCAGTGGGTGGATTTTACTGAGAGGCCCTCTTAAATGCCAGGACGCTTTCAAATAATGTCTAGTCTACCCATTTGCTATATTTTCTCGTTTGTTTTACTAATTTTTGACCAATTAATAAGCATGTTTTTGTTTTAGAATTTGATATTCAAATTCCCCGCCATATTTTCATAATTTGGTGCATGCGCAGACGTTTTTCCGCGGTGTTGTGTTTATCCAGTTTACGCTCTTTGAATTAACCTTATCATTAATGATAATATGTAAACTAGAACACTATAATTGACCTCCGCTTGTGGAGATTTTAATTTAGGGCGATCAATTAAAAAACTGAAATCTGTTCTATCACGATGCATTACAGTGCCTATGGTTATGTCTATATCCATGTCCTCACAAATGTTTAGTGTAACGTTGGATTGGTTCATGTCATACGGTTCCGACAAGCAGCAACGTAGTATTCCAGCCGAAAATAATTACTTTTGATTTGGGTCAGTAATTATAATAGATAATTACTTCGGCCAACTGGCATTATTGGATATATTGCAGCCAGCTTCGGCCTTCGGCCTCAGCTGGCTGCAATATATCCAATAATGCCGTTGGCCTCAGTAATTATCTTATAAATAACTGATCCATCATTAGTAATAGTGGTACCACAGTCGAAGAATGTAATGAGTGGACAGTTGGCAAAATTGTTGTCTACCAGTTACAGTAAGAACTATCCATAAAATGCTTAGTGTAATATCCAAGCTTTATTAACTATAAGTTGTTTTTCAAATACAATAATATCAAGCTCGCCATGCTCTGTTCGCCATGCGGTCTAGCTTATGTCCTCGCAAAGCATTGTTGTCTATATACGGTATGTGACGTTGACGTCATCATCACACTCCTCCCTACCTTCGCATTTAATACTTTCTAACTTCAGAACATGCAAAACTATAACTCAAAAATTTTTTAATAGTACCTGGACCAATTTACCAGTTCATAAGTTAATGACTGAGAATTGCCGAGTCCGGATCATGATAAAAGTTTGTTCGTTGTCTATCCCTTGCAGGGTACCTACATCCTCTTCGTTTTCTTGATACTGTTCGTTTCTTACTATCTCACCCTCTTCTTCATCTGACGGTTGATCATCAAGATGGTATTGTCGCTCTTTTTCACCAAGGTTAAGACACTTGAAATAGGATATGTTTCTGGTAATTTGATGAGAGTGTCGTTGGGCTGTAATTGTGGCACCGTGGACGTTGATCACTTTGTAAGGGGCTGGATTTAATTTTGTTGAAAACTTGTTCTTCTTTTGTTGTTTATATATAACCAAATCACCAACGTTAATCAGAGTTTTCTTTGTGTGCCTCGCCTGATCAGTATACCTTTTCATTTGACTTTTGGAGTTGTGATCATTCTCTTTTTCCATGATATGCTTGTCGATTGGTTTTGATGAACTGAAGTGTAATGTTGTGGTAACTTGGTGAGAATTGTTCTGTTAAACAGGAGTTCGGCTGGGGCAACTTTGTGGTGCTGTGGGGAGTCGCTCGATAATTCAAGAGGAAGGTGAACAATTCTTTTTTCCAATTTCGGCCCTCTGTTCTAGCTGTTAGAATGGACTTAAGCAATGGTTTCATGAATGACTCCGCTTCTGAGTTGCCCTGTGGCCATAAAGGGGTGAATGTTACAAATTCAATGCCATGGATCTCCATGTATCGCCTGATTTCCTGTCCGTTGAATGGAGAACCATTGTCAGATACAACTTTGTATGGAATGCCATGCGTTGAGAATATTCTGTCCAGCTTCGGGATGAGTGCTGCTGCTGATGTTGAATGTACGATTTCGACTTCCGGGTACCGGGAATATGCATCAATTGCAACAAGTATCAGCTCTCCGGTCGGAAGTGGACCTAGAAAGTCTATGTGCACTGTATGCCATGGTGTTGGTGGCATCTTTGACATTTTGAGTGGTACTGGAGGGTGAGCTGGAGTGGTGCTTTGGCAGGGGATGCAGGCATCGATGATCTTTTTCACCATGGAATCAATTGATTGGAACCATATTTTCTCTCGAAGCAACTGCTTAGTTTTGGTTAAGCCTTGATGGCCTTCATGGGCCATATCGATGGCTTGTGTTCTCAGGGATGTTGGTATAACTATTCGGGTGGATTTCAGGAGCAGGTCATTATCTTTACTAGCAGTCACCTCGGTTCGGATGCTATACAGAATACTAAGTTCCTGGTTGTTTATGTTTGGATCTGTCAAGTTGCGTGCCTCATGCCAATTTCCATTCTGAATATATTTCATTGCAATCTGCAGGGTTGCATCTTCTTTCGTTTGCTGTTTAATTTCTTCCAGGCTGATGGACTTGGGAATAGTGTGCTGTGCAATGAAGGTGATGTACTCTTCTGCTAACTCGCCTTGACGATGTGTTGCACTTGTGTTCAGGGGGTGTCGAGACATATAATCTGAGGGATTGTCCTTCCCGGGGCTATATTGGACTCGAAAACGGTATTTGTGAAGACGTAGGAACCATTGCTCGATCCGTGCAGGAGGTTTGGACTTAGGGTTATTGCAGATCAACTCTAATGGTTTGTGATCTGTATACAGGACAAATTCTGTTCCATATGTATGAATATGAATTCTCTCCATTGCCCAAACAATGGCGAGGGCTTCACGTTCGGGTTGATTGTATCTTTGTTCGACGGGACTGAGTG